GATTATTCCATTCATCCCACAAACATTTACTGGGATGAAATTATGTGCCTCAGAGTGTGTGCTGGAACACAGGAGGGAAAAGCTGAATAAGACCCAGACCCTGCCTAGACACTGAAGTATGCAAACAAGTCCAATATCATGCAGTAGAAGCTGTGGAGTATTTGAGGGAGACAAGAAAGCAGGTAACTCGGGTTTGGGAAAAGACAAGGAACTTCTGGGAATCATATGAAGACCGTTGAATGATCAGAAAGATGAAATAAAAATCTAAGATGAGGCTAAGGAAAGCTAAATCAGAAATGGTATGAGTGGGAAAAAATTAGGATTCAGTGCTGTGGCTTGGTCTTGGCTTCAGTTCCCTGAGCTCACAGAAAGGTGCCTAGGGAGACCGCTTCCTTTGCACCTGAGGTAAGGGGAGCAGAGCTTGAAGCCCACTGCCTCTGGGACACAGCTGACAGCCCAGCACTGCCTCCATTCTGAAGCCTGTGACACACAGGCCAGATCCCAGTCAGGACTCAAGGACTTACCCCCTTAGCTGTCGACACCTCCAGGTATGGCTTCCTAAGAAAGTCCCTGCCGCCATGCCTGGCCCATTCCACACATAAAGGCCCAGCCTCCAACCTCAACTCACAGTATCGCCGAAGGCCCCATCAGCTTCTGAGCTTCCAGGGGGGTGAGCAAGGCCTTTTCCTGGAACTATCACAGCCCAGTTTCTCTCTCAGTCCCACTTGCAGTCCTTCCCTTTCAAACTCTTAATGCCCAAAGCATTCCCCGACAGATATCCCCCACATCCAATCTAATCCCTAGCTCTGAGTCTACTCCTCAGGAAACCAAACCAGCCACACCTGCCAACCACTTCCCCCAGAAGCACAAGCAGGCTGCTGGGAAAACTCAGTAATCAGTGCAACTTTACAACCTAAAGTTAACGAATGGATTGCTCTGTTTTTATTATTATTATTCTCAGGCCATCACCCAAAAACATTTTCAAAATTTCATTCTGATCCTTAGGGTTTAAGCTATAACCAGGTTATAAATGAAAGTATACTCTGGCCAAGTCCTGAGTATATAAAGATTTTCATCCTGATTTACAGGTGGATCCAGAAGTTCAACCAAGATTAGCCAGCACACCCCCACTGCCCAGAATCTCCTGAGGATTTAATCTCTCAAGTGTCACCAAAAGATATGAAAGAGGAATATTTACCAGACAAAAGGTTGGACTTGGAGGCCCTCAAAAGGAGCAACCATCATAGAAAAATGAAAAGCTTTCGTTTAACCACCAGCAAATTTTAGCAAGCAGATGTTGAAATGACATCTGTGTGGGCTTGGCCATAAGACATTAAGTGACCACAGAAGCATGAGGCTGACATACTCTGGTCCCGGTGGCAGCTCTACTTCTGAACTTCTGAGCGGACAAAGGAGATGGCAGGCTCCCTCTTTTCTCTCTCACCCTCTTCTTTTCTCTTTCTCCAAAGCAGAGGCTCAGAGAATACAAAAGATCTGGATGCTGTTCTAGGCTCACCACACAATAGTGTGTGAACTTGAACAATTTATTCACCTCTCTGTCTCCTGTTTTCCTTATTGAAAAAATGAGAGATAAAGAAAACTTCTGCATGTAGTTGGCAGGAGTGAAAACACTAGTTAACACCACTTATAAACCCTTGCAGAGCACTGTGCTTAGCCATCTAATCCAGGGGTTCTCACAGCTACCCAGAAGGATTAACAAGGGAGCTTCAAAAACTACGGAGGCCGGGAGGGTTCCTCAGTGTGTCTGACATAATCAGTTTGGGTGCTGAAGCATCAGAGATGTTTGCAGCTGTCCAGAGTCTAAGATGAAGTCAAGGTTCAGAGCTATTGCTATCTGCAGATTATTTTATGTAAGCCACCAACTACCCTATGAGTTCAGCAGGACTGTCTCCCATGCCCACTTTTATAGACAAGGAAAATGAGGTTCAGGAAGGTTAGGAGATTGCTTAGGACTATGGAACCATCAAGGGGCAGAGCTGAGATCTGAACCCACACAAAAGAGCTCCCAACATATATACATCACCAACACTACTTCACCTTAGATGCAGAGAAACATCTAACAAGTCTAGTTATCCAGAAGATGCTTCCTATTTGGGGGGTCTCATGCTGTTTTTTGCTTTTTAGCTTCCCTCTGCTCTTCACAATTCCCAACCCAAAATACTACTGACAGTTCAGTAAAAATGAGGGATAATATTTAGAAGTATAGTCAAGATGGATCCTGAAGACAAAAAAAAAGTTTCTTTCCTTCTCTCTTCCTTCTTACAACATAGCTATAAGAATTCACTTGTTTTCTATTTCTCTTTCTGTTTGTTTGTTTTGTAGATGTTGCCCAGGCTGGCTTGAACTCCTACGCTCAAGCAATCCTCCTGCCTCAGCCTCTCAAGGGCCGAGACTATAGGCATGCGCCAATGGGCCTGGGATTAAAACATTTTAAAATAATTAGTATACAGGGACAAGGGGAAAAAATGAGAACCAGGACCTACCATGTAAAGGTACAAGATCCCAACATCGAATGTAGCTGTACTGTATACCTAAAAATGTACCAATAAACTCAAGAAAAAAATAATAATTATTATTATAGATACTATATTAAAAAATCTCAGAAGTCTGAAAAGCAAATACTTTTACCACCCCAGTTCCAGTTTAAGTCAATTTTTTCATTTGCCTACATCAACCTCTGGGACTTGTTCATAAGCCTTTCTGGCTTTTGTATCTATGGTATCATAATGCCAGTGCATTTTTATATAATTCTGTTAATATGATGCTATGTATATCTTTCTAGAGTTGTCTTACAAAGACTCTAGTAAGCCCCTTGACAGCTCTGTAGATAATGGAGCTGAGCCAGAAATATTTTCATTAAAAGTTGTTCTCTTCAGGGTAAAAAAAATTAAAAAAAAAAAAAAAAAAAAAAAAAGCTTAGCCTGGTTACTCTGAAAGTTGATATAAAAATTTATAAGTCTGTAAAAGTCACATGACATGGCATTAGCTTTTCTTTATTTGTCATGTGTATAAAAATATCCACTCTTCTCACCTCCATGCCTTGCACAAAAGAACCAAAAATATGTATTGCATAAATGAAAAAATGATACTTTTCATAGCTGTACAATGTAGTTACAAAATGGGATGTCTTAGGAGTGGGGACAGAAAACTCCAAAGCTAGGCCCCCTGAAATCAGGGCAGGGTAGACAACAGAAAAACAGGCAGGCAAGAAGGCTGGAAACCTCATGGTAAAGGCTGGCTAAATCGGCCAGGAAGAAGCCCGTGCTTTCCTGAATGGTACCATTCAAACCTTTAACCTTGGAAGTATGACACGTGGAAACCAAGTGAGAAAGTCATAACTGGCCTAGAGTCACATTCTGGGGTATTTAGAAAAGATGTTTATATTCTTGAGCTCCTCTCTCCCTGTGCACTGGAAGAGACATGAAGGTGTGGCGGTTATGGCAAAAATAAATAAATGAATAAATAAATAAGGCTGCAAAGAGGTAAAGTGGGTACACTTTGGGAGAATACCCACTTACAAAGTCCTTAGAGCAAGGACGCCTGTGCTGCAGTCCATGCGGTCTCCTCTGGATACCGCACTGGGACATCAAGGACACTGTGAATCCCCTGAAATCAGTGTAAATTATGTACACCTGTCTTTCTAACTCGGAGAGCTCTGTTTTCATCAGACTCCTGGGTCTTTCGATTATAGGAACTGTTTTTCCTTCCACTTCATCAGCTCAGGTGGGGCTCTTCTAAATGCACCACTATTGGATGAGGACAAGAGAGAAGGTAGAAAACAAAGGAACTCGCCCTTCGCAAGGTCTGCTACTGCGCGACCAGCATATACAAGGGCCCATAAACGGTAGCTCTTTCTACGTTTATTACTCTGTGCAAAGCACTTCGCTTTTATTTCAGTCTCACAACAACTCCACAAGGTCATAGAATTCCCATATCCTAGTTAGGGAGAAACTGGTAACAGGTTTGATTGAGTCACTCACCCAGGGTCACACAGCAAGTGGGAGAGTGCAGAACTTCCTAACTCCAAAGCTTGGACTCTTCCTCTCCAGGCCCGAAGCTGTCTGCCTGGCTGACCTCTCTGCCCACCCTCCAGGCCTTCATATCTGAAGCCTCCAGGTCCTGCCCTCTCCCTGCGCTGTCCATCAGTGCAGGCCCAGAGCCAAAAAGGAGTCTCTTCAGGCCAACACATAATCTATTTCCTGACATTATGTGGCCTCAAATCATGCCCCTCAAATTCCACATTCAAAGCCATGAATTTTAATTGGCAAGTGTCAATCAAAGAAATAAATCACAGTTAAATTCCTCGCCTTTCTGATGCAGCCAAGTCAAAGCTAGAAGGTAAGCCCTGTTTCCTGGCAGTCACACACCAGAGCACTGAGAAAGTGCTACATCATTTTCTGGTTTCTAAATCCCATCACATGAATGTCGTGCCAGCTGCTTGCCCTGGGCCTTTCCTATGCACCCTCTCTTAACATAGACCCTCCATGCTGCCAAAGAGCCAAGGCGGCACAGGTGTTAATCCAGGGAGGTTAAGGCCCTCGGCCCACACTGGCAGCAAGAGAATCCACCGGAACCGGGACTGGAACCCGGGATTTCCTGAGGACAGTCTGGGCTAACCACGTCCCTCCCACCAGCCCTACCCAGCACTAAGATTCGAGGTACCAACATCACCTCGGTTTTCCCTGTTCCCAGCTCAGGTTTTCCCTGGCTGAAATTTGGTCAGCCTCTTGGGAGGAGGAGCCACGGAAGACAGGAGGACTCTATAAAATCCAAGGCCGGTGCCCGGCTGAGCTCTGCCCCTGGCACCTCTGTTACCTTGGGCAGATCCCAGTAGATCTTGTTAAAGCCCCAGATCACAGGGATGAGAGGAGAACCCCAGACAGCGTTCAGCTGTTATGCGAATATGCATTACCCTTGCTCCTCCAGAACTCACTAATTCCAAAGAGCGAGGCTGCAGCCCTGTTCCAGCCCCTCCTTACCGCTGGTCTCCGGAGTTCTCAGCGTCCCGCAGAGTCCCGCCGCCGCGCCCTCGAGCTCCCTCCTGGCCGTGACTGCTGCTTCGTTTTCCCTCCGTCTCAGTACTGTTCTCTCCTCGCCTCGCCTCGCCTGAAGGACGGCTCTTGGATACGCAGACTCTGGCTACTTCGCTCCGGCCGTCTGGAGACCCTCTCCCGGAGGCTGAGCTCTGGCCTCTGCGGGGACCGCGCGTCCCGCCCTCGT